CTGAATCCAGGAGGGAGCATCCACCGCATGGAGCCAGCTGGGAACAGCCCCTGCCCGGGGTCAGGCAGGGACACGGGGCCATCTCCAGCCCAGCTCCCCGTAATTCCCGGATTTCCTGGGCTCTGGACCTCTCTGACACAAACTGTGGGGAGAGCCGGGGGTTTTGGGCTCCAGAAACCTCTCCTCACTCAGGGCACACAGCCAGGATCAGCTCCAGGGCTGGCCTGGGAGCAGCAGATTCCCAGATAAACTCAGGGACGCCGTTCCACAGGGCCGGCAGGTGGGAGGAGGTGAGGCAAGGGACGTTCAGTCTCTCATCACTCATGATCTGGTGGCATTCCAAGCCTGAGGATTAGTTCTGGAATCACAGAATGTCCTGAGCTGGAAGGGACCCGCAGGGATCAGTCCCAGGCTGGCCCTGCACAGACACCCCGGGATCTGATCCCTGGCAGCGCTGTCCAGTCTCTCCTGGAGCCTGGGGATCCTGGGCAGTGCCCAGCACCCTCTGGGGCCAGAACCTTTTCCAGTCCCACTCCCCAGCTCAGCACTCTCCTCATGCCCGGCTTTCCCCAGGGCTGTGCCTCCCCGCAGGATCCCGGGGGATTAAAGAGCTGCTGGCGGTGCCTGGGGCCTTTCAGGGTTCGTGTCACCCCCACGTCCCTCGGGGGCTGCGAGGCAGAGAGGAGAAGAGCAGATCCCTTCTCCAGGCCGGGGATTTGCAGGGCTGAGGCTGCAGAGGCTCGGCAGCTGCGGCGAGTCACGGGACGCTGCTGACACCGATTTTCTGCGGGTTGAGCAATGGTCCCCGGGCAGGCCCGGGAGCCTCTCCCCGCTCGGCCCCGGGGAAGCGCTGCCCTTCCCCGCTGGGGTGGGGCTGCCCGGGCCGCTCCTCCTGGCTGGGAATCAGCGGTGACCGCGGAAATCGCTGCTGGGCTGGCGCTGCCTGCCCCGGGCTCGGAGCCGCGGCCCCGCCGGGGCTGCGTCCCCCCTGCTCCCCCAGCGCCGCCGCTTTTTGTCACATCCCGGGCTGGCTCCGGCCCCCAGCGCTCCTCGGGTGTCCGCAGCTCCTGCAAAACCCTTCCCAAAGCTGCTGCTGAATCCAGCCATGATTTTTGGCTTTCCCAGCAGGAGGAAGGGTGACACGAGTGACCTTGACCCGAGCCACGTTCCCGCAGGACCTGCTGCTGCCGCTGCCATGCAAATTGCCCTTTTTTATTTTTTTTTTTTTCTGCCTTTTTTTTTTCTTTTTTCTATTGAGCAATCCCACCTTCGCCCCCAGGCGTGCAGAGGGATGCCCAGCTGCCAGGGGACAGTGGCAGAGCCACACTGGCACGGAGCCCACCCAGTCCCTGGCAGAGGCAGCGCGGGCTCCCCTAACGAGCGGAGGGTGCGAATTCTCCCGGTGTTCATTGACAGAACTCTCAGTGTGATGGACTCCCGGGCCACTCGAGTGGCTGGAACGTGTAATTGAGGCTGGTTATTCTTCTCGACGAGTGTCCCCCCCGCTCCTCGCTAATGGCAAATCGGGGCGGAACACATGGAGAGCGCTTTGTGCTCCATTCACCGCCGGGCCGCGATCAAAACCAGCCCGGCGAATGTCACTGAATGAGCGGGGACAATGAGTGGCAGTGAATGAAAGCCTTGTTGTGGGGCCCCGAGGCACAAAGGAGCACCGCGAGGCCGGCGCCTGCCCGAGCAGGGGCTGAATTCAGCCCCGGTAGCGCCGGGAGGGGCTCGGGCACGGGGTGGGGGCGAGGTCGGCTGCGCTCGGGGCTCTCCAAGCGCTGGATGCTGCCGTTTGTTCGGGGAGCAAAAAGAGCAGGGTTTGGAGGGCAAAAAGAGCAGGGTTTGGGGAATAAAAGGAGCAGGGTTTGGAGGGGGAAAAAGAGCAGGGTTTGGGGAGTAAGAAGACCAGGGTATGGAGGACAAAATGAGCAGAGGGCAAAAAGAGCAGGGTTTGGGGAGTAGAAGGAGCAGGGTTTGGAGGGAAAAAAGAGCAGGGTTTGAGGGAGTAAAAGGAGCAGGGTTTCGAGAGGCCGGCCCCAGCTCAGGGGCTCGGGGAGAGCAGCAGGAGCTGGAATGGAGTCGGGCAGATGCTCACACAGCTCAGGGCAGCTTCGTCTCCTCAGCCCAGGGGTTTCAGCAGCGTTTGGGGGTCCTGGAGTCTCAGTCCGGGCTTGGTGCAGCTCCCAAGCCCAGCTCAGAGCGAGTGCTGCACTCCAGGTTCTGCACTGAGCCATTCCTTTCATCAAAGCACACCTCAGGTGCCCCAGGTAGCATTTTCACCATGGAAATTCCCAGTTTTCCCCCCCAGGGCCACATTCCCGGTGTCCCCAAGCCCCAAATCGCCGAGTGGGACAGGGGCACGGCACCTGGCAGTGCTCGAGGGAAAGAGGAAAGAGGAGGCCGAGCCCTGAGCCGGGCTCTTGGCAGCTGCTCCGTGTTATCCGTGCATCTCCCAACAAACACCCAAATGTGTGGGAGCATCTGCACGGCGAGGATGAATAATAATCCAGGAGGGAAAAGGAGTGGGCGAGAGCTCGCGGGGAAGAAGGAAGCGCTGGCATTCCAGAGCCAGGGGGAAGAACAGGATCGGCAGGGAGCAGAGCAGCACCGCCAGGCTCGGGAGGAAACGAGGGCTCCTGCCAGGCTGACCTGCTTGGGAAGGTGCAGGGAAAGCTGCTGCAGCGGGAAGGGGGAAAAGCCGAGGGAGATCAGGTTGAATCCGTGGGGGAAGGAGGCGATGGGAGAGCGGCGCTCCCACGTGCAGAGTAGGCATGACTGGGATGATGAGATGCCATTCATTTTTTTCCCCCTCTTTCTGCACAAGCCCGAGTGGGTGAATCCACGTGTTTTCCCCGATGCCATGGGTTCATCCCACGCTGTTTGTCGGGATCTGCCCCCCCAGGACCCCCACGCTCCCAACCTGAAGGGCTGCACCGGGTGAGCTCCACAGGCACCGCGACCATTCCGGGATTCCCTGATCCAGAGGGAGCTGGAAGCCCCTGGAGGGGTCACAGACGCTGCTCAGGGAGGGGACACGGGGCTCGTGCCGACAGAAACCTCTTGAAAGGCTCATTTGCTGCAGGCACAGAGCGACAGGGACGCGCTCGCGTCTCTCCTGGCTCTGTCCTCGCTCACTGGTGAGTGACAGCAAACCCCGGCGAGGCTCAGCCAGCAGCTCTGGGGACATCACGGCACCCAGCGAGGACACCGTGACCCCACACACAGATCCAGGCACCCCTCTCACTGCATGGGGACTTTCAGGGCTTGGGCTGGACTCCACCTCAAAGGCCTTTTCTTCTAATTCTGTGATTTTGTGAGCTCTGGCTGTCACACCCCCGGTGCTCTCCAGCTGTGCACCCCTTCTCCAGCTGTGCACCCCTTCTCCAGCTGTGCACCCCCTCTGCAGCTGTGCACTCCGGTGCTCTGCAGCTGTGCACCCCTTCTCCAGCTGTGCACCCCCTCTCCAGCTGTGCACCCCTTCTCCAGCTGTGCACCCCTTCTCCAGCTGTGCACCCCCTCTGCAGCTGTGCACTCCGGTGCTCTGCAGCTGTGCACCCCTTCTCCAGCTGTGCACCCCCTCTGCAACTGTGCACCCCTTCTCCAGCTGTGCACCCCTTCTCCAGCTGTGCACCCCAGTGCTCTCCAGCTGTGCACCCTCTCTCCAGCTGCCTGGGGATGCTGTGGCCGCACCTGTGGCATTGTCACAGCGCCTTTCCCACCCTGGCAGTGTGTGGGGACAATCACCGTGTCTTTCACATCCTCCTCCTCCTCCTCCTCCTCCTCCCAAAGCCGGTTATCGCTTGTGCCGTCTCAGCCGCATCCCGGCAGCCGCTTGGGCCTCGGGTCTTTCTTGCTTCCCTTAATCTCCCAAAATGGATTTGGGGATTAAGGGGGATGTTCTGGCTTGCCAGGACTTCTCCTCCATCCCGGTCCTCACGGCGAGAGGAAAACGAATAAAGCTGAGGGATGAGTGCAGGTGGTGCTGCCCTGGCTGGGAGCAGCCGGAGCCCAGCTGGAATGGCAGGAGTGGGAAAAGGGGAGTGGGAAAAGAGGAGTGGGAAAGCAGAGGAGTGGGAAAAGAGAGGAATGGGAAAAGAGAGGAGTGGGAAGGAGAGGACTGACTGGGACTGAGGATGGGGCAGCAAGGAGGCCCCGGCACAGCGATCCTGCACCCCGTCCACCACCCCCAATTTAACCCCCAGATCCCTGCTTGGACCATGGGAACTCGGGAGAGGACTGGAGCACCCAACGCTCTGAGCTGCTCCAAACCCAGCACGGAGCTGAAACCTCCCTCCTCCTGCAGGGCAAACAGGACTCAGCTCTTTTGATTTCCGTGCCTTCCCCCCTCTCCCAGCTCACCCCTAATTACCGATCTCAGCCCCATTAGAGCCAAGAGCCACAGAGGCCACCAGGAGCTGGGGTTTTATTTTATTTCTGTTTTTTCCCTCACAACAAAGCGGGCGAGCAGAGAGCCCCGCGTGCCTCAGCGCTCACAGGGCCTCTTGTCCCCTCGAGTGCCGCACAGCCATTAACGCTAATTAAACCTCTCGGCGTCCCTTTCCAGGCGGGTTAAGAGGAGCACTGGGAATTGGAGAGAGATCCGGGGGCTCCAGGGATGCGGGAGAGGTTGCGGCTGCGGCTCCCAGCGCGGAGGAGCGGGTACTTGTTGGGATCGCAGCTGTCAGGCACCTAAAAATCGCCACAAATCCCTTTTCCTCCTCTGGGAATTTTTAGAGGCTCCCGCAGGGAACTTTCCTGGCTTTATCCAGGATGCTCCCAGGCACAGACTGGAGCCTGCTCAGGGCCCGACCACCCTGGGGGTGCAGCCTGACCCTCCCGGCGCCGCTCTCAGGTGCTGTCCCTGTCACAGAGCGCTGGGGACAGCTCTGAGGTCCCCCCCAGTCTGTTCCCACCCCCACAGCCCCAAACCGGGGGGCTCTGCCACCACCCCCAGGTGGCTTCTCCTGGCTCACGCCGTGTCCCCGTGTCCCCAGGCTCGCCGCTCCCGGCCACACCGAGGGCCGTGCTATGATCTGGCGGCGCCGGGAGCAGCATGGGCAGCGTCAGCAGCCTCATCTCCGGCCACAGCTTCCACAGCAAGCACTGCCGAGCCTCCCAGTACAAGCTCCGCAAGTCCTCGCACCTGAAAAAGCTCAACCGCTACTCGGACGGGCTGCTCCGCTTCGGCTTCTCGCAGGACTCCGGCCACAAGTCCGGCTCCAAGAGCAGCAAGAATGAGGATTTCTTTTACATCAAGGTCAGCCAGAAGTCGCACGGCTCCCAGCGGCCGGACTACACCGCCCTGGGCAGCGGGGAGCTGGGAGTGCCCGCCGGGAGCAGCGGGCTGGACTTCGGGACTCCCACGCCGCAGAAGCTGATGCCCTTCCCCAGCCAGCTGGAGGTGGTGAGTGGGGAAAAGTGTCCCTGGGAGCGGGGGGATGTCACACTGGAACCCGTCTGTCCTCCAAGTGTCCGCAGGTCCCACGGCAGGGCTGTGTCCGTGAGGAAGCTGAGGGAGAACAGGGGCAGCTGGGGGCACTCTGCCACCCTCTGCTTTCGGGAGTTTGGATCAGCAGCGTGACCCGAGGGATTTGGAGCCTTTCATTTCCAAACCCAGCTGTCCCACCCCGGGGGTCAGTCCCGGGGGGCAGAAGGGGCGGGGGGACCCTCGAGGAGCTCGGCTCGGTGCTGACGGGCTCTGCTCTCCCCCGGCAGGGCGGGGAGAAGCCGCTGCCTCGTCCCACGGCCTTCAAGCCGGTGCTGCCGCGCTCTGGGGCCATCCTGCGCTCGTCCCCCGAGAGCGGGGGGCCCCTGGCCCAGCAGCTGCACCCCCCGGAGAAGGCCAAGGAGCAGGAGCTGCGGCCGCTGCCGTGCTCGGGGGGCCTGTCCGACTCCGGCCGCAACTCCATGTCCAGCCTGCCCACGCACAGCACCAGCAGCAGCTACCAGCTGGAGCCCCTCGTCACCCCCATGGGCCCCATCAGCCGCTTCGGGGGCTCTGCCCACAACATCCTGCAGTGCGCCATCATCCAGGACAGCAACATGATGAGCCTCAAGGCCATGTCCTTCTCCGACGGCGGCAACAAGATCCTGAACCCCGGCAAGGCCCCCCACCACCACCCCGCCGCCGAGAAAAGCACCTGCGTGCGCTCGCCCATCGCCACGGACGAGTCCACCATCCAGGAGCTGGAGCAGAAGCTGCTGGAGAGGGAGGGGGAGCTGCAGGAGCTGCAGTCAAGCTTCGAGGAGAAGGAAATCAGCTCCTGCCAGGCCTACGAGGAGAAGCAGCGGCGCTGCAAGGAGGAGCTGGAGGGGCTGAAGCAGAAATGCAACAGCAAACTCAAGCAAACCTCGCAGAAGACGCAGCGGACGCAGCAGGTGCTGCACCTGCAGGTGTTCCAGCTGCAGCAGGAGAAGCAGCAGCTGAGGGAGGAGCTTGAAAAACTCATGAAGGAGCAGAACCTGCTGGAGACCAAGCTGAGGTCCTACGAGAAGGAGAAGACCAGCTTTGCCCCGGCGCTGGAGGAGACGCAGTGGGAGGTGAGAGGGGAAAGGGGGGCAGAGCAAAGGGGATGTGGAGGGGGAGAGCTCCAGACCCCCCAGCCCTTCCCATCTCCGCTCCTGCATCCACCAGGAGCATCCCAGGCTGTAGGAAATGGATGTGAAATCCCAGGAGTCCCCCAGGAGCTGGGATTGAGGTTCTCACTGCCCCTCTGAACCCTTCCCCTCACCCAAGGGAACAGCAGAGCACAAAACCCCTCAGGCACTAAAATAACTCGGCATTCCCAGCCCCCAGCTCAAGGTTTTCCTGCCCCACAGGAGCTGTAAAGCTGCCTTCCCACAAGAAACCACCTGGGCTTCCCATGGCCGTTTGTTAGGGAGCACTAAAACCTTCCACTCTCTGCTTAATTTACTCACTCCTTGGTGTGGCTGAGCAAACACTGTCAATCTGCTGGAAATTCCAACGTTTAATAAGAGGCATTTGTGATATTAATTATAAATAATAATTATAGTTAAATTAATAATAAATAACTGTAAAAACGTTAAATTGAGGGTCTCCATGAGCTGAACCCCAGCTGTGCCCAGCTCACAGGGGATTTCCCCACGCTCCAGCCCTAACTCAGGTGTTCATCCCCATCCAGGTGTGCCAGAAATCCGGGGAGATCTCGCTGCTGAAGCAGCAGCTGAAGGAGTCGCAGACCGAGCTCACCACCAAGACCACAGAGATCCTGAGCCTGAAGGCGCAGCTGAAGGAGGTGAGGCTGAAGATGGAGGGGCTGGAGATGAAGACCCAGGAGCTGGAGGTGTCGCTGCGCACCAAGGCCATGGAGCTGGAGGTGTGCGAGAACGAGCTGCAGCGCAAGAAGAACGAGTCGGAGCTGCTGCGGGAGAAGGTGAACCTGCTGGAGCAGGAGATCCTGGAGCTGCGCTCCGAGCTCGCCGTGCTCCGCGAGCAGCTCAGCGAGGGGCCCCGGCCGGGCGGGGACGATGCCCAGGCCCTGCAGGGGCAGCTGGAGAGGCTGCGGGCGGAGCTGCAGGCGGAACGCGACAACAACGAGCAGATGAGCTGCAGCTTCCAGCAGGAGCGGCAGACGTGGAAGGAGGAGAAGGAGAAGGTGATCCACTACCAGAAGCAGCTGCAGCAGAGCTACCTGCACATGTACAAGAGGAACCAGAGCCTGGAGAAGATGCTGCAGCAGCTGGCGGCGGGCGAGGACGGCAAGGAGCCCATCGAGCTGGAGATCCCCGGCGCCGACGTCCCCTACGAGGACATCATCGCCACCGAGATCTGAGCTGCCGTCCCCTCCTCGCAGCCCGGGGAGATGCTCGGCCCCCTTGTACAGCCGAGCTGAGCCGTGTCCCCCCTGTCCCGTCGTGTTCCAGAGGTGACCAAGCCACTCGTGCCAATGGTGACGTGCCCGCAGCTCCCCCGCCCCGGCACCGCCCTGGCACTGCCCCCTCTGCCCCCCGAGGAGCCGCCGGTGGGGCGGGCAGGGATCAGGACTCCAGGGAATTCTCTGCCATCTGTGCCCAGCGCCCAGGGGATACTCCAGGCCTGGGGGAACCCAGCCTGGCCCAGCTCCGGGGATGGCCCAGCCCAGTCCTGCCCACTGCCAGTGACAGGGATCAGCCCCAGTGTGTGCCCAGCTCTGGGAATGGCCCAGCTCTGGGAACGGCCCAGCTCCGGGGATGGCCCAGCTCCAGGGAGGATCCAGCTCTGGGAATGGCCCAGCTCTGGGGATGGCCCAGCACAGTCCTGCCCACTGCCAGTGACAGGGATCAGCCCCAGCTCCCTGGAGGAAGCTCCCACTCCTCCTCAGCCTCTGTCGGCGCCGATCCCAAGGGCTGGATCCAGGAAAGCTGGATCCCAAGGGTGCCATGGGAGCACAGAGCCACCTCCTGCCGCTGCCACATCCACCCCTGCCAGCCCTGAGGGCCTCAGGAAGGTCCCCAGCTGCACCCCCCGGTACAGCCCAACCCCCCGAAATCAGCGCTCAGTCCGAGCACAGCCCGCCCTGCACTGCACCACTCACTGCCCTCCCTCTGCCCGGCATTCCCAGCTCCCACCAAGGACTCATTCCCTTTTCTCGGCTGCCAGAGAGCAGCCGGATCCAAGAATTCGCAGGAATGTCCCAGCCACGGTCTGACCAAGGAACGGGGTTTGTGTTCACCCCACAGCCCCTCGCACTCACCGGGGCTGTCCCTCCCGGGACCCCCGGCTGCCTTATCTCCTCCCGTGCCCTGATCCCGCTGGATCCTGCCAGGGGAAGCTGGTTAAAACACCCCAAAACAACCACTTTCACCTTAATTTCTACCCCAGCTCTTAAAATTTCGTCCTGCCACCAGCGAGTGGCTCCACGGATAATGAGGTGGCACTGCTGGTGACCCTCGTGTCCCCCTGACTGGGGAGGGAACCAGCAGCGCCCAGTTTGGGGGGGGCTCCAGCCAGGACCCCTCTGTGCCAGTGCAATGATATTTTTGCTGCAGTTTTTTACCCACTGCCCCATTCCAGGGGTCTTGGGGGGAGGGTGGGGGGGTCTTGCACAATCCCAACGCCACCAATTCGGCCAAGGGCTCCAAGATGTGCAAAATTCTGCATCCCTTGTGCCATTCCAGCCTGGAAAGGTGACACACAGGAACCAGTCTGTGCCTTCTGCGCCTGGCCCTGAGCACCCCAAACCACTGCCCCAGCTCTCCTGGCTGGGCCTGGCACTGTCCAGCTGGTTCTGGCACTGCCTGGCCGGTTCTGGCACTGTCTGGCCGGTTCTGGCACTGCCTGGCCGGTTCTGGCACTGCCTGGCCGGTTCTGGCACTGTCCAATCAGTTCTGGCACTGTCTGGCCGGTTCTGGCACTGCCTGGCTGGTTCTGGCACTGCCCAGCTGGTTCTGGCACTATCCGGCCGGTTCTGGCACTGTCCAATCAGTTCTGGCACTGTCCGGCCGGTTCTGGCGCTGCCCGGCTGGTTCTGGCACTGTCCGGCCGGTTCTGGCACTGCCCGGCCCATTCTGGCACTGCCCGGCCGGTTCTGGCACTGCCCAATCAGTTCTGGCACTGCCCGGCCGGTTCTGGCACTGCCTGGCCGGTTCTGGCACTGTCCAATCAGTTCTGGCACTGTCCGGCCGGTTCTGGCGCTGCCCGGCTGGTTCTGGCACTGTCCGGCCGGTTCTGGCACTGTCCGGCCGGTTCTGGCACTGCCCGGCCCATTCTGGCACTGCCCGGCCGGTTCTGGCACTGCCCAATCAGTTCTGGCACTGCCCGGCCGGTTCTGGCACTGTCCAATCAGTTCTGGCACTGCCCGGCCGGTTCTGGCACTGCCCAATCAGTTCTGGCACTGCCCGGCCGGTTCTGGCACTGCCCGGCCGGTTCTGGCACTGCCCAATCAGTTCTGGCACTGCCCAATCAGTTCTGGCACTGCCCGGCCGGTTCTGGCACCGGCACAACCGATCCTCGCCCGCGGCCCGCAGGAAAAAGCCACCCTCACTTGCTGCGGGCGCCGAGCCCTCGCCCAGCCCTGCCGAAGGATGTTTTGGAAACTGAAGGAGCAGGGATGGCGATGCCAGGAGGGATTCTGTGCGTCCCCCAAGGCACAGCCCCGCGCCCGGGGCTCTGCACCCGGAGCCTCCCAGAGCCCAGCCGGGTGCCGAGGGCAGCAGAGCCCTTCCCGACCTTTTCCCGTCCGGCAATTCCCCGCTGCCGTCCCCAGCCCCGCGTTCCCAGCTCTATGATGTGATCTCGAGAACTCGCCGTGCTGCCTTTGCACAACTCCGCTGTGTGTGCCCGCCGCATTCCAGGTGTGTCGTTCCGGCCGGGAGCCGCGGCCACGCCCGGCTCCGGCCTGGACAGAGAATTATTTTTCTGCAGGTTTTCTTTATTTTGTTTTTTTGGTTTTTGTATGTTCTTTCTGGTGACTGATGTAAACTACTGGTTAATTTTATGGTTTTATTTATAAATAAATTTTTTAAAACTTCCTCAGCCTCTCTGGCTCCTCGGCGGCGTTCTGGGGATTTTCCACGCCCAAGCCACCAGGATTTATCACAGCCCACCAGGGTCCCCTCTGGGGACATCCCTGCACCTGGCCCTGCTTTTTTCCAGCCCGGAGTTATCTCCGCTCTGCAGCTGGGATAACCCGAGCATGGAGAAGCAGGGATTGAGCTCCGCTGGATCAGGGAGAGTGGGATAATCCATCCGGCCCCGCTGCCAGCCTGAGCCCCCCAGCCTCACCCTCCTGATTTCACCCTGACCCCGTCCCCACCATCCCTGAGCAGGCAGATCCCAGTCCTGAGCAGATCCAGGGAAAACGATTCCCGTGGGAGATGTGAAGTGTGGCTGCTCTAACAAACCCGAGGTCAGATTTTGGCTATTTCAGCTGTTTTGCTCCAAACCAAACCAACTCCACAAAAAAAAAAAAAAAACAGTGTGGGGCGAGGCAGAGGTTGGGGAGCAGAAAATGGGGAAAACGCCTCAGTTTCAGGAAACTGCTCATTCTGCCCCATCTGGCTGTACCCACGGGGCAGGGGGTGGATCTGGGCACCCCAAAAAGGCACCTGGCACCTGCTGCTGCTTTCCAGGGAAATCTTGGCAGTGAGGGAAATTGATTTTTAGAGTTTATTTCTTTTTAGTTTATTTTGGAACTGCTGGGGAGGGAAGGGTCCCTCCTGTGACAGTCACCCCAGCCCTTCCCAGGAATCTGGGCCAAGGGAGCAGCAAGGAGAGCCCTGAGCTCCCAGGGAACATCCCTGACCCTCAGAGGTCACAGCAGCACCGGGAGGGCAGCTCCAGGAGGGAGAGCAGCATCCCCGAGGGCACCAACACCTCAGGGAATTCTTAGGAATGCTTAGAGAAGCCAAAACCTCATCCCTGGAGACCCCAAATCCCAGCCTTGAGGGACCTGGGCTGCTTTTCCCAAAAAGCAGGAGATGGTCCCAGCACTTTTCCACCAAACTCCTCCTGAAGCTGCAACTGAGCTGTGCCAGCCTTGTCCTCTCCCTGGCACAAACCTGGCACGGGAGAGCACCGGGATGGAAGCTGGGAGAGCCCTGGAATGGAAGCTGGATGTTGGAAAAGCACCAGGATGGAAGTTGGGAGAGCACCAGGATGGAAGCTGGAAGCTGGAAAAGCACCGGGATTGAAGTTGGAATCTGGGAGAGCACTGGGATGGAAGTTGGAAAAGCACCAGGATGGAAGGTGGGAGAGCATTGGGATGGAAGTTGGAAGCTGGAAAAGCACCGGGATGGAAGCTGGATGAGCACCGGGATGCAAGTTGGATGCCGGGAGAGCACCAGGAAAGCTGGAACCCCGCTCCTGCAGGAGACACGAGCGGGAAGGAGCAGCAAGGCCGGATAATCCCAGGGGAAATCATTCTGTGCTGACAGCCCGAGCTCGCTCGGGGGCCGGTGCAGCATCACCAGGGTGGCTCTGGAACCACCTGGGGGGCACCGCTGGCTCAGGTTTTGGGGGGCAAACAGGAGAAGGAGCCCGGCTGGAGCATCCGGGCGGTCCCTGCTTGGCTCCAGCTGCCGCAGGAGCGGCGCGGATCGTTGGATTAATGAGAGCATGCAAATCAGCCCCCAGCCGGAGAAAAGCCAATTTGCATCTCCTTTAAACGCCCCGCTGGCACCGCACGCGTGCCTGGCTGTGTGTGGGGCAGGGCCAGCCCCAAACCCAAACCCAAACCCTCCTCCGCGCCTGGGACAGAACTGAACGGAGCCTCCCAGCGCTCGCAGGGCCGGGTTTGGGGTGCAAAAAAGCCCTTTTTGATGTGCAAATGAGCCCCGGCAGCTCTGCCCAGCAGCCTGGTGCCGGCCCTACCTCGCATCTGCCACCGGGGCAGGGAGGGACCCGGCCGGCGCTGTCCCCTCCCCTCACAGCGAGGGAACAGCTGGCGTGTGCCCGTGGCAGGGACCGGCTGCCATCCCTTGGCGAGGGGCTGAGCCCCCGGGCGCTGCTCGTTACTCATTATGGGATAAAAAAATCTGAATTAAAAAAGCAGCCGGCTTGGAAAAGGCCGGCGGCGGCAGCTGGGAGAGCAGCACGGCCCTTTGAGCCGGTACCTGCTGTCCCCAGCCGGGACAGGCATCGGGACCCTGCCAGGAGCTGTCACGGGAGCCCTGCCAGGGGACACAGGAACAGCCCTGACCCCTTTGTTCACCCCACAGCACCGAGCAGCTCGGGGGGAAACGCTGGGCTGAGCCCCAGGGCCAGCACAGACCCCCAAAGCTGGGTTTGCCATTCCTGCCTTTCTTTGGGTTGTTGATTCCTGGGTTTGCTGTTCCCAGGCTTGGTTTGGTCATTCCTGGTTTTGGTCAGTCTGGGTTTCGGTCATTCCCAGGTTTGTCATTCCTGGTTGGGTTTGCCCATTCATTCCTAGGTTAATCCATTCCCAGTTTGGTTTGCCCATTCCCAGGTTTGTCATTCCTGGCTTTGTTCATTCCTGGTTTGCCATTCCCATTTTCCAGGGCCCTGTGCCAGTCTCGGGCTGTCCCCACCCCAGCCCTGGACCCTGCCCAGGGGTGACAGCGATGGCCGGGGAGGGGGCTGGGGTCACTGACTGACCCCCACCCTCCTCATGCCCAAAATCCCAACCCAATCGGGGCCCAAAGCTCATTTCCCAGGAGTTGAAGGTTTCCAAGCCCCCCCAGCCCGTGGAGAGGGAGGGGTGTGAGGACAGAGGAATCACATTCCCTGCACATTCCTGCAAAGCCTTTCCCCGTGACTGCTCAGGCCCGGGCTGAAGGTCAGACCCTCCTCCTCCTCAGCCACCAGCTCCAGGGACAATGGGGGGTGGCTCCAGTGACCCTTCATCCACACTGGAATTGCTCCATTCCCATTCCCAGGCTCCCTGGGGACAGGAAGACCCTGCTGCACAGCCAGAGTGGTTTTTCACCCCCACAACCACTCAAGTTCGTTCAACACCTTCCATATTTAATTTATTTAGAGATTCTCTACATTAAAGTGTTTTCATGCCAAGGCTTCTGCCCTCCCATCCTGAGCTCAGGAAAAAGAGACTGGGCACAGCTTTGGGTGGAATGCACTGGAACAACGTCGCAGCCACAGAGAACACGGAACAAACCAGAGAACTGCACACAGGAGACGTCAGGGAAAGCTGGAATTAGCACATTCCAGTCATGTTAGCACCTTCCCAGACGGGCCTGAAGGCGTGCAGGGAGGTGCAACATGCTCTGGTGAGCCAGACCAGAGCTCAGACTACAGGAAAGCCTGGAAAAAGCATGGAATTGTGCCAGCAGCAGCAGCAGGCCCGGAGCCTCGGCTGAACCCGTTGGAAAAGGAACAACACGGAATTGCCCAGCCAAGATTGCAGAGTTTGGGAATGCTGAGCTCAGGGCTGAGGCAAATCTGTGCCTGGAGTGCAAACCACAACAGCTCCAGCCGCGGCACGGGCCCAGCACACCTCGAGCAGGTTTCAAATATCCTTTCTCACATGAAAAGCTGCCTTTTTTTACTAATTTTATTATTTTCCTGTTGCCTTGTGTAGACCAGGCCACGGTTTAAAAGCTGAGCTCGCAGCAGCACACCTGGGCCAGGCTTTG